GACTTCCAAACCTTCATAGACTTGGTCACTCAGCGATCCACAATTCCTCTTGGATGCTCTAGACCATGACGCCTAACCGTCTGGAAGATGCATAGTCTTCAAAGGTAACAACATCGGTTCCACACAGGAATAATCTCTTCAGTGATGCTCAATCACTTTGGGTTTTAAGTGTTTGGGTTTGGGTTTTTCCTCACTTGATGATTTTCGCTCAAAGTCCTTGGAGGATGGGATGCTCTCAATGACAAGTGTCAGTTTCTCTCGGAGCAGCCAACCAACTAGTTGTAGGGGGCGGCTATTTATAGACGGGGAGCAGCTCGACATGATAAGACATAAATGCCCTTCAATGATATGACCGTAGGTGGATAAAATATTTTGGGAAAGTTTGCGCGTAGCACAGCAACGGTCAGAAATTTGAGCTCTCAAATTCCTTAGGGCTATCATGTTCCTCACTTGTAGGAAATCCACACTGGCAAATTCCTAACTCCTCAGTCAGTACAAATTCCTCAGAGAACAGAAGATCTCCATCTCTGTTCACTAAAGAAATTGACTGAACTTTATGAGATTTCCAATGGCTTCACTTGAAAGGATTGGGTATGTGTAGGCTTTGAGATGAGCATCACTTGGAAACTTTTTCTTAGTTTTACCTCGACCCCCTTTAACAGTACGGTGTTTCGTATGGCACAAGAAAGAGAAAATGAAACTACAAAAACAAAAGTCTTCGCGCTTCATAATCCTCGCATTAATATCAAAGTCTTCAGGTCACACCAATTTCCTCATTTTCAAAGTCTTCAAGAAAACCAAAGTCTTCAACTGAAGACATTCATTTTTAGGGGTTGACTTTCTTCGTAAATATCTAACTCCTCATAGACTTATAGAGCATGTGTACACTCACAAACACATTAGTCCCTTAACCTATAAGTCTTCAATACACCAAAATGGCTAAGGGGCACTAGATGCACTTGCACAACGTTCTATACTAGTTTCCCCACTAACAGGTTTCGCCCATTCTCTTGCTACTAGGGCGATGAAGTTCTCTTTTTTGAACCAGCTTAGTTCGAAAGAGAAAGCATTTTTGTTGCCAATATGTGTTGCGTCTCCCAAGTCTACCAATAGCGGGGTGTGGTCTGAGATGGCCCTCTGCATCGCATGCACCAAAACTAATGGATATTTCTATTCCCACTCCACACTAGAGAGTACTCTATCCAACTTCTCATAAGTTGGAGTAGGCAACGTGTTAGACCATGTGAACTGTCTACCCACGAGTTCAATCTCTCTTAGACTAAGACTCTCAATAATCATGTTGAACATCATGGACCGATGCCCATCAAAATTTTCATTGTTTTTCTCGTCTCTCCTCCTGATTATATTAAAATCTCCTCCAACTAGGATTGGCAGTCTTTCATCCCCGCAGATGCTAACCAGATCTACTAGGAAGTCAGGCTTAAGCTCAGGTTGGGATGCTCCATATACAACCACGAGAGACCAGCGGAATCCATCCACTTTTTACCTCACTTGAAATTTAAACGCAAAATCACCTCTAACCGCATTGATCACCTATAGAGTTTCACACTTAACCCCCAACAAAATCCCGCCGGATCTTCCTCTAGGAGGTAAGCGGTGCCAATCAAAATCAATTCCACCAGACAAAGTTCCCAGGAACTATGAGGTGAAATTATCTCTCCCTATTTCGAGAAGTGCTATAAAATCTAGTTTCTGATCTATCGATGTTTCTGCAAGGAACCTTCTTTTAGCCAAGTCTGTTGGACCTCTACTATTCCAAAAAATTCCTTTCATAAATCATCATGATTTTTTTTCTTAAGCTTAACTCTAGCACTTCTCCTAATGGCCTATGTAGGGTAAACCTTCCGTTTCCATGGACGCTTCGGTTTATCCACCTGTGCCACTACATCCTCAAAACCAGATTGCCCCTGGCTATTACCTTCTATCGGTAAAGACTTTGTATTTCCCTCAGGCTCCGACCCTTCTACCTCAATTTCAGCTTCTAAAGTAGGCATGAGGTCATTACAAAAACTCTCCATAGCCGAAATCCCTAAGTTGTTAATGTCAGGCTCATTCATAGGTTTTACGGCCGCAATGTTATGTATAATCTCAGCTGCCCGCTCAGCTTCTAAGTCTAATAAATCATTAACCAATTTAGCATTTTCTTTCCTATTAGAACCAAGTGAAACTCCTAAGTCATTTCCCTTACCAATAATCTCATGTTCAGGAAAATGCTAAATGGAACAACTCTTATTAAACGACATACCTGTAGTTGCCTCCACATCTTGAAGCTTGGCTGCCCTCATGGCACGCCCTAACTGCAAGTAGTCCGGATCTGGTTGCTCCTGGATCCGGCTGGTGACCCGGCTGCCAGCCGATACCGAGTCCATGATACCGCCAAATGCAATAACCTCCTATGTAGTCCTCTCCCATGGCTGCTGGTCTAGGAGAACACACTCGCCCGCCCGGGCGGAAGCAGGCGCGACTGACGTGGCGCCTCGAGTCGGTGTGATCGTCGCCTCCGTTGCCGGCGCAACCATGCGCCCAGCAGGTAGCGTAGTCATATCTTGTCTAGGCACTGAATGGTGCAAATGCGCCGGCAGAACACGGGCCTTCCGCCCGCCACTCCCCCTCAATGCCCCTACCACGGGATGGTGTCGTGAAGACCTCCGGGATCCGGCCGTCTGCCGGGGCGGTGACCATCTCCAAGACCTCCTGCCTCATTGCGGTGTCCATCCTTGTAGTGTCGGGCGACACCACAGTAGCGGCTGCCCCCAGCGACTGTTGCTCCATAGCAACAACCGTTGAAGAAGGACACTCGGCCGTCGAAAGCATAGGCAACATCATCTTGGACGGATCCTCTGACTCAACCCTGCGGCTCCATAAGCGGCTAGGGGCGGAAGATGCTCCAAAAGACCCAAATAGTAGTGTGTTCATAGGCATCGATGCTTTGCCACCCTTAGCCGACTCATCTGCCTTCCCGGACTGTGGTGCAGCCCCTTAGGCGCCTCCCGAGAACCATGCTTTGTATCTTTGTCCTTACCACCAGTTGTATCATCCCCCTCCGTTGTGTCCATGTCCTGATGACCATCTTCCTCCTGGAACAGAGGTGTGTCCTCAAACTCCACATCAAGGTCGTAAGTGACCCCCGCATGAGTGCACTTGACCACGTCTGGGACAAACTCAATGTTAACCACACCAACAAGAAGTCTCGCCACACCATTAGCGCGAGTGGAAGGCATATCAACCTTCTCTGTCTTGCCAATGAGAGACCCCCAGACTCCAAGTCACAAGGAATTGCAATGCATGCATGTTTGGCCAATAAATAACAAAGAAGCTTTGCATGCATTGGTGTGTTTATCATTGCATGCAAAGAGTTAATGCACATTGAATGAACATGTGATGGGAAGTAGTAGATATGAGACTTATAAAACGAAAAAACTGAAATTTTGAGACGAGCCCTATAAACTGGAAGGGAGGTAGTATAACCTTATGATCCATGATCTTTAACTAAATTTTGTTGGTACCGAAATGGTTCCTTGACAAGCGGCTTTCTTCATATTTAATGATATTTGCATAACAGCACTCGCCTCTGTGTGCGCGCCCATATATATATATGAGAGAAGAGGGAGAGAGAGAGAGGTGATGAACATTTATAAGATTATGAGTTTCCAACACGAGTGTACTATTTCTTTTATCATATTTGGATAAATCTTCATTGTTTTACATATTGTGTGGCATGGCATTCTTCAGAACTCGCAAGAATATTGATGCAAAATAAAAACATATAAATTGTAGATGAGAATTTAGGCACAATGGCACTCATTTTGCGGATAAGTCTGCTAGTTATTTTTATTTGAAATGACATATCCGCGTACAAAATAATGATCATAGTTTCGCCTTGAAAACATGTCGAGCCCTAAAACGGCATACATCTATATGAAGCATTTCTTTGGTTCACTTCATCCATACGGTTGAGGCAGTTGGCCGGGATGTGGAGTTCTGCTCCCGGGCTCAAATGCCCCCTAATGAACAGTAAAATTTAAAAGTAGTAAACAAGTTTAAAAAATCTGAATTTTTTATGGTAAACTTTGACAAATTTTTTGTATGTTTGTAAAATTTCAGCACAACATGACATTCGTGGAAGTGGTGGCAAAAAAACAAAATTGATGCTCCAAAGATGCTAGTTTTGAAAACATTTTGGAGTGCCCTTTTTTTTGCCACAATTTCCATGAATGTCATTTCGTGCTGAAATTTGGTATGCATATAGACATTTGTCAAAGTTTACCACACACAAAAAACAGATTTTTTTTTTAATTTGTTTTTTCTTTTTTTTTACTGTTTACAGGGTGCATTTAAGCTCGGTACGGTAGCAGAATAGAGCTTTCGAATTATATTCAGGCACTCCTGCAACCTCTGAGAATGGACCCTTTGTTATTTATTAGAACCTGCTGCAACTTAAACCTCTGAGGATGTACCTTTGCTATTTATCAAAATCAATTTCGTATATGCTTATTGCTGTAGAGTTAAAAATATTATTCACGGTACAAATCATGAACACAATAGGAAATAAAGATTTTGGCCATGCTCTTAATGATCTCCGGACGCATAACCTCGAAAAGAAAGCCCTAGCCTCTGAGTGTATGTTTTTTGGTCAGAGAACAAATGGAAGATAATGCACGCCATGCAACATTTGAGAATACATGGAGGATTTTATTTCAGGGGCATACATTTCATGAAGCCAAGATCATCATCAACAACTTTTCAAGCTATGGTTTGAAAGTTCTATCTATGCGAGCAAATCCTCTATCCAGGTTCACATTGGAAGCCTGGGTTCAGAAACTGCTACGCTAACTGGCAGAAAACTATGCACTGCCTTTTTGCTAACCCGTGGATACTGCTATCTGTACCAAACATCTATATACAGCGTAGTTTGTTTATACTGTACATAATTTAAGCACCGGAAACATAGGCAGTCTGCCAATGTACGCCGTCTCATGTCAGCAGCGAGATGGTCGCTTGTACGTCGGGGGTAAGGATGGGCAGTTCTCATTCATTTTTGCGTACGGCTCTATCGTGTTGTACTCTGGTAGCTCCATTCTGTACTCCCCAAGTATCTGGCAGAAGGGAGGCTTGTCTGCCTCGGTATGACACCAGTTTGGGAGCCTGGTCCGGTCGTCTTCAAATATCTTGAGCATATATGCGTCCCGTATCTGAGGCAGAGGGTAATTTAGTAACACACTCGACACAGGATCAATCAACCGAAAGAAAGCCCTTTCAGAAATTAACATACGCTACTTTTCAAGCCCTTTTATCCTTTCACATAATATATCTTATGTTCAGTTTGTAAGTTCGAAATCGTCTCAGATGTAGAAATGCATGAACAGAGAAGAATAACACTTTCAGTTGCAATTATGACAGGCAAGGGACTTGGGCACTTACAGTGAACTCGGTGACCTGAATTGATTCTGTGAAAGGAGCAAACACCCCAGCTTCCTTGTACATCGCAAGAATGAAAGAAACACAAGTAGTTGATTTACCATCACTGTATACCCATTCATCTTGTTCAGGGATGGTGAGCAACTGATCGAAAGACATGCCACGCTTTTCAGTCTCAAGAATGACACCCTGAAGGTCCAAACCCTACATAAAATAGACACCATGAAATTGATAAAAAGGGCAACCTGGTGCATGTAGCTCCCGCTTGCGCAGGGTCCAGGGAAGGGTCCGACCACTTTGGGTCTATAGTACGCAGCCTTTCCCTACATTTCTTAAAGAGGCTGTTTCCAGGACTTGAACCCATGACCTCATGGTCACAAGGCAGCAGCTTTACCACTGCGCCAAGGCTCCCCTTCACACCATGAAATGATAACCGGGTATAATTTTTGGGTAGATAGACGCAGGAGCACTATTTTACCTATCTTGTAGAAAATAATAATAATAAAAGCTTATTTGAGCAAAACAATATTTCAAGGCCAACTAAGCCTCATAGAACTCCCTACCAGAGCACCAACAAAGGGCCCCACATTAGTGCATCTAAAGGTTAGCTGCAGTAGAGGGCCAGAGGCATGCGTACAGCCAGAGAACCCAACTCGGGTGTGAGAAATGAAATTTAACAGAAACCATCACATTGCTTAACCTTGCGTCAGCTGTAATCACTACAAACTTATAGGACCCTACACACCCCGGCACTACCCATCAAAGGAAGCCACAATACAGACTAGTTTACAAACCTCAGTCCCAAGCCGTTTGTTAAGGGCTTCATTCCACATGTTCGCAGCATAAAGTGGTTGTAATCTAGTCCACATTGACATAACAGCCATTACCTGAAAACAATAAATAACAGAAGTTGGTAATTCAAACATTACTGATGATAAACTTTTCAATGCATGGAATAAATTTAAATCAGCTATACAACCAATTTACAGGTATCTTGAGTTTGAAAGACTAAAAGTGCTTAATAGTTTCAGGACATCAACATTACCAATTCAGTATCTTTTTTCCACCTAACTTCAGGCGAACTTCAGGAGATCAAGTGCTTTCTTCTACATTGATACAGATTTCCCAGTATGTTTGCTAAGATTTTAACAAGATAATATTATCTAGCTTTTCCACTTTTAACTAGGAACGTACGTTCACTACATGAAACCACGTGGTTTATCAAGGTTTCAAGAAAGAGTGGTATGGGTGTATGGAGTAGGTAAGTTCATGGGATGAGTCCCGTGCATAGGCCATAGTTTGGTTAGCATTACCACAAAATTTATTTCCGATCTGCACAATAAACTTACATAGGCACCAAAAAAATCAAAGAGAATGTGTATGAACACTGAGAATGCCAAAACTAAATATGGAACTTGATTCAGGTCCAAACAATTGAAATCAAAACTTTGCAAAGGCCAGAGAGATTACCAGATTAGCATCAAGAGGAGGTGGATAATTATCTCCTATTGTATCAATCCAGCTAAATATCATATTATGATAGCCATACGGCTTTCCGACCATGCTCCGTGCAAAGTCCCATGCGGCACTTTCATTGAATCTAGAGCGTATATCAGGGTGTAATGGCAGAAGGGCTATCTGAGGATTTGATCCATCCTTCAGTGCCATTTCCCACCATTCATCCCAAGGAACTATAGCAATAATTTCCTCTCCCTGTTATTGAAATTCAGTATAGTCAAGATAAAACAAAACTGCACTTTTTTGTACAGGAGTAAACATACATGAAACACTGTATGCCAGTTTTTGGCAGCGAAAAGTTCTGCTGGCTTTAGTGTTGCAGATACTAAGACGATCAGGTGGCTAAAGCCCAAAAGGACATAAAATTATCCTTGTAATAAGAGCAAAGTAAGTGTAAGGCTAATCTAGCAACTAAAGGTTGGCCACCAAAATCATAATTTCACACACTAAAGTTGGTCCAGCACGTATTTAAATCAAAAGGATAAGTTTATTGGTGAGAAAACACAAGAAGTACATCACCTACATTAACCTTTACCCTTTTGAGTATATATTCAGAAGGTGAGAAGGATCATAAGCATCAGTAATTATGTAGATACTGGGCATGATTAGGGTCAGCATATTATCAAGTATAACCAAGCAGTATAAATAATGTTGATACTAGACCTGATTAGGGTGAATATAAGAAATTAAATGACAGCAGCCACAACATGTTATCAACTGATAGCATATATTACATGGAGAAAATGAAATGAACAACAAAGATTCCATTCATACTATATAGAAAGCTATATTACCTTTTCATTTTCAAAGCCTGATTCTGCAACCCAGAGATCACCCTTCTCATCTTTCAAACACACAGCAGTATGCCCAGCAAATGCACCAGTTACCCATTTCTCTAATGTCTCAAACCCGCCCCATCGTCCTCGAATCTTTGATAGAGCCAAAAAGTCACCAGATTGTATGTCCTCCTTCATAATATTAGCAACCCAAGGTTGAGAACGTTTCTCAAATGTAGCTCCCATGTGCTTCTCTAAAAAGGCCAAGTTGGAATTTTGACCCCATCCAGTATTCGAAAACAAGGGCAGGACATCAATCAAAGATAACAAAGTTCCAAGCATCCCAGAAGGCATGAGAAAAACAGACACACCATGCTGCTTAACCTGATTAAGAACATGGTAATTGAACAGTTTAGAACTTGAAATTTGTTTCATGGGCTACTGAATTGTTTAAGATATCTTGTAGAAAGAGAACACACATATTCGAGCTCTGCTTCTTCCTCCCATGACGTTATCTCCAAAGTGTGTTCTCGAGCCGCAAAATAGTAATCCCATGTTATCCTATATGGTGTTGCAAACACATAAAGATCCATGCACGTCCAGCTTTGAGCAGAACCAGTCTGCATAACAAGATATGCTATTGTTAAAGTCAGGACCCATAATTAGTGAGACAGTCAGACCATTAAAAACAGCCAATGTTTACAATCACAAGCTGTCCAGTCAATGCAAATATTATGGCTCAAAAATTACAACTGCAGGAAGGTTAAAGTAAAGTATTGCATTGATACACGAAAGTTGGTATACAATACTATTCAGCACCTCCTGCATGATAGTTGTGCATTACAACAATCAGCAAGTCGGGGTGAGACAATGGAGTAAAACAAAGTTGTGAATTTGAATAGAGTAGAAAGTAAGATCTCTATATATCACCAAACAACATTACCATCAGGAACCATCTTCTTCAAATGCATTTCAGTTCAAATTACAAAAGTAAATTCTACAATAATGTTCACAGCCTCACAGGCGACATGCATGAGGTAGAGTCTGTCAACAGCAAAGCCTTTCAGTCCCAAACAAGTTGGGGTAGGCTAGAGTTGAAACACATAAGATCTCCAAAACAAGAGTCTATCAGAAATAAAAATAAAAATCAGAAATGTGTATGATGTTGTGATTCTATTTTGGAACAGACCTCCTACCATACATGACGATGTTACCATTTCAAGTCGGTTGATTTACAGTCGGCGCCTGAGCAAATTTTAGCTCAAATAAATAAAGCCTACTCTGGGAAGTTCAGCGGTAGCTGAGAGATCTTGATCTCAACAAGAAAAGTAAAGCATCGAAGCTAATGCGCATCCATGGAAACAAATGCGCGCATCCATGGAAACAAATGCGCGCATCCATGGAAACAAATGCTAGTTCGGTCAACAAATTAATCAATACTTTTCAGAAAGGTTCACCACGAGGAACCCATTATCCCCTACACAATTAGCAAGCTATCATCAGTCATCGGTTCACGTTCATCACTCCCCGTTCTTAATTATAACTAAGCAGCAAGGATGCACTAGAGCAACTCTTCCTAATTTGCACCGAAGCTTGAATGATCACCTATATATGGATATACGGATATACCCCTCAAACGAGTAGTTCCCAGAGGTAACTACTCCTATACGGAATGAATTAGCAACTACACACCCAAGCAGCCGGGTCGGGCGACATAATTTAAGAAGATTTTCAGGTCTGAGGTGAGGACCTTGAGGCGGAGGACGGCGCCGCCGATCTCGGTCCCGTTGCGGTCGCCGGGGGTGAGCTCAAGGGCCGCCTCATTCACGGCGAAGCAGGAGCCGTTCCACACGGCGGGGGAGGGTGCGGCTGGGGCCACGGCGGCGACGAAGGAGGGCAGGAGGTCGACGGCGCTGTGGAGGGTGTTCATCACGGGCCACGCCACCTGCCGCGGCAGGATCGGGAGGACGTCCCCGGGGCTGAACGGCAGCTTCAGCCCCACCGCCCCGCCCCGGGGCAGCCCCGTGGCCAGCACGAGCAGGAGGAGGAGCCAGAGGCGAGGTAGGGGGCGGGCGCCCCTACGGGCACGGGATGCCATCGCCACCGGCCGGCCGGGGAGACGTGTGAGCCGGCAGTTGGTTCCCTCCCTCCCTTCCCCGCCGATTTTGCGATTTTTTCTTTTGTCTGACCTCGTCGAGGAGGCTTGCGCGGTCGGGGAAGGTGCCGTGGAGTGGAGGAGTCGTTGGTCGCGGCGAGGGCTTCCAACTTCCAAGTTCCAAGACGTCTTCGGAGTTCGGTCTTCCCGTCGCTTTTGGATTTTGAGTTCTTTTTCTTTTTCTTTTTTTGAGCTTAGGTGGATCTAGTTGGGCACGAGTCCGGGTCCCACTCGGGGACGATATTGTTTTCCGTTGGATTGCTTTTTCTTGGTTAAAAAAAGGACGGCCCAGATCAGGTGTTTGTTTTTTCGAATTTATTAATTCTCATCTGCTACCTCCTTCTAACATATCCCTCTGTAAAGAAATTAGTGATCTATAAACGCTTTTATATTTCTTTACGAAGAGAGTACAAGACATTTTGATAGGCTAGTTTAGCCAAAGTATCTTATATTCTAGAATGAAGATAGCACATGTGAACTAATAAAGTCTCGTCTAACTTTCTTATGTTATTGATTTTATCTGGAGATTCATGCTGATGTTTTCTTCTTTTTCTGTTTGATTCAGTCAGTTAGATATAACTTAATTAATTCTCATATAGATGAGAGCTAACCATACTTTTATCCAAATGATAAGTGTCACACGTGTGGCACGATGCACTCCGGTCTGACTTTTTTTATAACTAAAGTTGTCATCCGAAAAGAAAAAGTAAATAAAAAGACTGAAACTTGCCATCTAAAATGAAAATTATCATGCTCGACAACTAAAGTTCTCATCCTCACGTCACTAAATTTGCTATAAAAAATGTTTGGAGTTGTTATGTGTTCATGTAACGCGTGTAGCATTTATTAGGTCTTACTTTTACTTTTAACTGGACACATGCTTTCAGTGAGATCACTAGCCACTAGGACAAAAACATCATTTGATACGTTCTCCAACCACATATTAGGCGTTTGCTCTCCCATGTTATGACTTCGTTTTGGATCCCGATGTTCTTTAGGAAACAAGCCCCGGCCTCTGCATCGAGCAATGCACACAACATATTATTAATTATTCAATAAAGGTTTGACAAAAACATACAACAACCCGAAGTCATCATCCACACCTACAAACTTGACAATGGGGAATGCCCTCACGCATCACCATCTACATTCGGGGTCACCGTCGATCCGCCCGCATGACATACCAGCAGCAAACACCACGTGGAGCAGAGCTAAAGCATACACCGTATGCACACGCTTAAAAACCGCCATCACCATCATATTGCTGACCCATCTTTAGGAAAAATATCTGCATCATCCTTGCCAGGCCGGTCAGCCATCGATGCTGCCACGGTGCCAAATAGCACCACTGCCATGCACTCGTCCATCAAAACGCATCCATGATAACCCACAAGTATAGGAGATCGCAACAGTTTTCGAGGGTAGAGTATTCAACCCAAATTTATTTATTCGATACAAGGGGAGCCAAAGAATATTCTCAAGTATTAACAGCTGAGTTGTCAATTCAATTCCACCTGAAAAACTTAATATCTGTAGCAAAATATTCAGTAGCAAAGTAGGATGGAAGTAACGATAACAGTGGCAATAGTAATAGTAGCAGTTTTATAGTAATTGTAACAGTGGTAACGAAGCAAAGATCAATATGAAATGAGCTCGTAGGCAATGGATCAATGATGAATAATTATGTCGGATGGCATTCATCATGCAACGGTTATAACACAGGGTGACACAGAACTAGCTCCAGTTCATCAATATAATGTAGACATGTATTCCGAATATAGTCATACGTGCTTATGGAAAAGAACTTGCATGACATCTTTTGTCCTACCCTCCCGTGGCAACGGGGTCCTATTGGAAACTAAGGGATACTAAGGCCTCCTTTTAATAGAGTACCAGACCAAAGCATTAGCACTTAGTGAATGCATGAACTCCTCGAACTACGGTCATCACTGGGAGTGGTCCCGACTATTGTCACTCCGGGGTTGCCGGATCATAACACGTAGTAGGTGACTATAACTTGCAAGATAGGATCAAGAACACGAATATACTCATGAAAACATAATAGGTTTAGATCTGGAATCATGGCACTCGGGTCCTAGTGACAAGCATTAAGCATAGCAAAGTCATAGCAACATCAGTCTTAGAACATAGTGGATACTAGGGACCAAACCCCAACAAAACTAACTCGATTACATGGTAAATCTCATCCAACCCATCACCGTCCAACAAGCCTACGATGGGATTACTCACGCACGGTGGTGAGCATCATGAAATTGGTGATGGAGGATGGTTGATGACGACGATGGTGACGGATTCCCCTCTCCGGAGCCCCGAACGGCCTCCAGGTCTGCCCTCCCGGGGAAGAACTGGGCTTGGCGGCGACTCTGTATCGTAAAACGCGATGAATCCTTCTCTCTGATTTCCCCCAAACATGAATATATGGAGTTGGAGTTGAGGTCGGTGGAGGTCCAGGGGGCCCACAAGGAAGGAGGGCGCCCCCCACCCTTGTGACCATGGTGTGGCCCCCCTTCACTTGATTCTTTTGCTGATATTTTTTATTAATTCCAAAAATCATCTTCGTGAAGTTTCAGGTCATTCCGAGAACTTTTATTTCTACACAAAAATAACACCATGGCAATTCTGCTAAAACAGCGTCAGTCCGGGTCAGTTCCTATTCAAATCATGCAAGTTAGAGTCCAAAACAAGGGCAGAAGAGTTTGGAAAAGTAGATACGATGGAGACGTATCAACTCCCCCAAGCTTAACCCATTGCTTGTCCTCAATCAATTCAATTGACAAACTGAAAGTGATAAAGAAAAACTTTTACAAACTATGTTTGATCTTGTTGTTGCAAATATGTAAAGCCATTCAAGTTTTCAGCAAAGATTGTGAACTAACCATATTCACAATAACATTTAGGTCTCATATTCGATCATATCAATGGCATAATCAACTAGCGAGCAATAATATTAAATCTCGAATGACAACACTTTTTCAAAACAATCATGATATGATATAACAAGATGGTATCTCGCTAGCCCTTTCTGAGACCGCAAAACATAAATACAGAGAACCCCTGAAGATCAAGGACTGACTAGACATTGTAATTCATGGAAAAATAGATCTAGTCATAGTCATACTCAATATAAATTAATAACAACGCATACAAATGACAGTGGTGCTCTCTAACTGGTGCTTTTTATAAGAGGATGATGACTCAGCAATGAAAGTAAATAGATAGGCCCTTCGCAGAGGGAAGCAGGGATTTGCAGAGGTGCCAGAGCTCGAGTTTTGAAAACAAAGGTAAATAATATTTTGAGCGGTATGCTTTCATTGTCAACATACAACTAAGAGATTTTGGTATCTTCCATGCTACATACATTATAGGTGGTTCCCAAACAGAATGGTAAAGTTTATACTCCCCCACCACCAACAAGCACACTCCGCGGCTGATCCAAAACAATGGGTACCGTCCAACTAACAACAATGCCTGGGGAGTTTTGTTTGCATTATTTTGATTTGATTTGAGCATGGGGCTGGGCATCTCGGTTACTAGGCATTTTCTCCTGAATGATGAGCGGAGTCCACTCATCATGAGAATAACCCACCTAGCATGGAAGATACTGACAGCCCCCAGTCACCACATGAGTGATTCGGACATACAAAACAGAATTTCATTTGAAGGTTTAGAGTTTGCCACATGCAAAATTACTTGGAACGGTAGGTAAATACCGCATATAGGTAGGTATAGTGGACTTACATGGAACAACTTTGGGTTTATGGAAGTGAATGCACAAGCAGTATTCCCGCTTAGTATAAGTGAAGGCTAAAAAAGGAATGTGAAGCGACCAACAAGAGAGCGACAACAGTCATAAACATGCATTAAGATTAACCAACATTGAGTGCAGTCATGGGTAGGATATAAATCACCATGAAAATAAATATCGTAGAGGCTGAAACGTCTCCAACGTATCTACTTTTCCAAACACTTTTTCCCTTGTTTTGGACTCTAGCTTGCATGATTTGAATGAAACTAAACCGGACTGACGCTGTTTTCAGCAGAACTGCCATGGTGTTATTTATTGTGCAGAAAACAAAAGTTCTCGGAGTGACCTGAAAATCCATGGAGATAACTTTTGGAAAATATAAAAAAATACTGGCGAAAGAATCAAGGCCAGGGGGCCCACACCCTGTCCACGGGGGTGGGGGCGCGCCCTCTCCCCCTGGGCGCGCCCCTGTCTCATGGGCCCCCTGATGCTCCATCGACCTCAACTCCAACTCCATATATTCCGTTTCACGGAGAAAAAAATCAGAGAGAAAGTTTCATCACCTTTTACGATACGGAGCCGCCGCCAAGCCCTAATCTCTCTCGGGAGGGCTGATCTGGAGTCCGTTCGGGGCTCCGAAGAGGGGGATTCATCGTCGTCGTCATCATAAACCATCCTCCATCACCAATTTTATGATGCTCACCGCCGTGCGTGAGTAGTTCCATCGTAGGCTTGCTGGACGGTGATGGGTTAGATGAGATTTATCATGTAATCAAGTTAGTTTTGTTAGGGTTTGATCCCTAGTATCCACTATGTTCTGAGATTGATGTTGCTATGACTTTTCTATGCTTAATGCTTGTCACTAGGGCCCGAGTGCCATGATTTCAGATCTGAACCTATTATGTTTTCATGAATATATGTGAGTTCTTGATCCTATCTTGCAAGTCTATAGTCACCTATTATGTGTTATGATCCGACAACCCCGAAGTGACAATAATCGGGATACTTCTCGGTGATGACCGTAGTTTGAGGAGTTCATGTATTCACTATGTGTTAATGCTTTGGTCCGATACTCTATTAAAAGGAGGCCTTAATATCCCTTAGTTTCCACTAGGACCCCGCTGCCATAGGAGGGTAGGACAAAAGATGTCATGCAAGTTCTTTTCCATAAGCACGT